CCCGGCTCCCCCCGACCCCCGCCATCGCCATGCTTTCCTGCAGGAGGGGAGCTCACCTCTCAGATGAAGCTGTGTAGACCCTGGAGGAAAGATGGCTGTGAATACACACTCCTGTTCTCTTCTCTGTGCCTGGTCAAACTCAAATTCAAACAGATGGAAGGTCTCTGAGTTTCTAAACAACTCTTAGTGAGCAGCCATGAACTTGGCTCAGGAGGCGAGGCACTTCGGTGCTCTTCTCCCCCTGTTTCTTCCTACTCCAAACACAGTTGTCCGAAACTAAACTATCTGTCCAGAGGAATGCAAAGATGGAGGTCCTAATGAGGGGGACACCTTATCATGTGGCACAAGTGACAGCCATCAGCAGGACAGAAAAACCACAAAATCAGAGAGGGAGCTAGGCGGTCTGTTTGTCTAGGCGCCCTGCCAAGTTTACAGTTGATCCTTTGCACGGAGGGCTCCACACGGAGTCAGCTGGCCACCTCATTTATAAAGATAACCTGTCATAATTGCTTAGGGTTGCACAGCGTCACCTCACTTGTCCAGAGGTCAGTTACCCCGAACCCCACTTAGCCAAGAACTCGGGAGCCAAACTGGCCCCCAGGGAACTTGATGAGCTGGTGCAAAGCTCAAGCTCTACGCTTTAGGCAGTGCGGTGTATTTGTGGGAGAGGCCCATCCAGAGCCAACTTCGTTTCCGTCTTTGCGTCTTTCTGACCAGCATGATAAGATCTCTCAGCCCACAAATACGTTAGAAATCGCAAGTGCTTAAGAGGTGACTTGAGCAACTGACAGATGGTGAAGAAAAAAAGAAAAATACGAAAAGTTGATAGATGCCTAGTCACCCAGACGTGGATTCCGTGTAGCGGCTCCGCCAACACACTTCGGCAGGTCGGGGGGATGCCGAGGCATGGCCCGGCCTCCCAGAGAATGTCGGGAACGGTGACTGTTCATGCCCTTCAGTGGCAGCCTGCACGTCGAAGTCCCAGAAATACCTTCCTCCGATGACTCATTCTGTTTATCAGCACCCTTCCTACTTCCTGCCCAGCACCCATCCCAGTTTACGGTCACGGTATTCACGGCGTTACCTCTCTGTTCCATTTGCTGCCTGCCACACTGGGTGCAGAGCCCTATGTGACAGCGCCCAAATCCCGGCTCTGTGCTTGTCCCATAACGGGTGCTTCATAAATAAATGTTGAGTGAATAAAGAAATGTCACCAGGAACACACCTACGTTCCCTGATTATGCTATATCGCTTTAGAAATATTTCTTTAAATTGAAGACTACTCCTTAGAAATATGGGTAAAGGGATGCTATATCTTGAAAGGGAGCAACCGTCACGTACCGGGAAAGTTAATCCTCGCGATGACACCATCGGATAGGTCTGGGGAGCCCTCGCTTCACCGATGAGGAAATCGAAGGTAAGAAACTTTCCAATCTTATGCAGTTAGTGGTGAAGTCTAGATTCGAGCCTGAAGGTCACATCTCATTGTAGCTCATGCATTGTCTGGGTCTCGAACGGGCCAGAACCAAGAACTGGGACTAATTAGGAAGGGAGGAGGGTCATGTAGATTGGGGCCGAGTCAAGTCTGAGAGTCAAGGCCGGGAGACCAGCTTCAAAGGGCAGACCTGGAATCATGAAGTCAGGAGCCCTATGGAAACAGGATCTGAGTCATCCTTCAGCCCACTCGAATCGGGCCTCTACCCACCTCCCCAAACTTCCCCAGAGCAGCTCTCGTTAGTGTCACTGAGGACTTCGACATGGCCGGGTCCAGTGGGGAGTGTGTATTCTGCATGGCGCCCGGCTCCTCAGCGCATCGGGCTTTCTGGCCGTTCCCCCTTCATGAAGCGCGGTTCACCCCGGCTTCCCCGCCGCGCTCTGTCCCGGACTTCCTCTCACCCACCTGTCCGCTCCGGCTCAGGTTCAGGCGCCACCCCATCCTCTTCCTCCTCGGCAGTAAATGTGGGGGGCTTCGGGACCAAGGGCAGATTTCTTTCTCTTCTGTCTTTCAGTCTTCTCTGTCTCTGTCTCTGTCTCTCTCTCTCTGTCTCTCTCTCTCTCTCTCTCTCTCTCTCTCTCTCTCTCTCTCTCTCTCTCTCTCTCTCTCTCTCTCTCTCTCTCTCTCTCTCTCTCTCTCTCTCTCTCTCTCTCTCTCTCTCTCTCTCTCTCTGTTTCTCTCTCTCTCTCTTCCTCTCTCTCTCTCTCTGTAGGTAAACTCATCCATTCCCGTGGCTTTAAACATTATTGATAGGTTGATGACTCTTTCAAATTTTGTTTCCCATCCTACACTACTTGATTTACCAATCGTCTGCTTGGCATTGCTGTGTGCGTATATTAACGGCAGTTCCAACCGAACGTGTGAAAACGCGAACTCAGCAGCTCAGCCGCGACCGACTTCGGCCTCCAGCCCCGATGAGCCAGCGGCCACCCACTCGTCGAGGCGTAATCGTAAGGCGACCCCCGCCGCCTGCCTCAGCCCATGCCTACCGATTCGCTCTTCTTTCTCTCCGCCTACATTCTTGGTCTCCTCCAGTTCATTCTCCGTGCTGCCAACAGAGACATTGTTTTAAAACACAGATCTGACTGCGTCGCCCCACTAACCACAGAGGAAAACTCCGAGCGCTTGCGTGGTCCATACATTCTGGAACGATCTGGCCTCTGCCTTCGTGTGTAGGCGCCCCCAGTCCGTACCGGTCCTCCATGTCTGGGCTCCAGGCACCCACACCCTCCTCTCAGTCCAGAGAACACATCGCGCCCCCTCTGGCCTCGGCATCCATCCCTCTGCCTGGCCTGGCCTCACCCGCCGCCACCGCCCCTTACTGGGTCAACGCGCAGCTCTCGACTCAAATGTTACACACACTCGGAGGACCAAGTCCCCCCAGCACCCGGCATGCGGGGCCGTGCTCCCTGTGCAGCTGTATACTTTGGGGACGTCTCTTTCTCAGTGGACTGTGAGCTCTGGGGCGGGGGCCGGGGGAGAGGGAAGGCCGCCGTCCCGAGAGGGCATGGGTGTCCCGGCTCCCACAGCGAGCCGCTGGGAGGCAGAGCCGGGTGCGTCTGGCGTCCAGGGAAGGCACCGGGCGCTATCGGTGGAGAATTTGCGTCGTTCACTTGTAAGAGCAGCAAAGGTGAGTTTTATTCACCTCTCGATTTCTTTGACTTTACAAAGGTGAGTTGTCGTTAACAGATTTTTTTTACTGTTGTGATTGTTCCAGTTTTGGTCAATCGATGTCCCCCATTAACTTCTAATTCCGAATTTAAGATACATTTGCATGATGAAAACTTACAGGAAACGCTAAATGTTTTTAGTTTGGGAAGGAACGAACCCAGCCCCAGCCCCAGCCCCAGGGCTGGGCCGCTGACCCAGGGCTGGGCAGCCAGGGCACAGGCTCACCTGGCCAAGGTGCGTGTCACGCAGAGGGACATGGCCAGGCCGGGGGGACTCAGTTCTGCTTCTTTGGACTGAGCGGGGACTCGTTCCTTGGCGGAGGGGACAGGAAGTAAGCTTGCCATGGCTTTCTGCCCCCCGACCTCGCAAGGTGAAAACAGAGCCGACGCAGAACACGGGGTGAGAGGCAGTGAGGTGCTGCCAGCAGACACGGTGTGACTTCTGGAGCCGTCAGTCTTCACGGGCTGGGGTGAAAACTTGGTCTGTGAAGGGCCAGCTAGTAAACACGTCAGGCTTGGTGGCCCTGCGCTCTCTGCTGTGACCACTCAGCAGCCCTCATAGCACAGAACAGCCCAGACGGTGCGCGACCGGCGAGCGAAGCCACGTGCAACAAGATTTTATGTGGACGCTGAAATTTAAATTCGCGTGATTTCTATGTGCCTCAAAATATTAGTCTTCTTTTGATCTCTTTTCCCCACAACCATTTAAAAAGTACAGGAGCCTCCTCAGCTCGCCGGCTCGCACCGGTCATCGGCCGGGTTTGCCCACGGGCTGTGCTCTGGGCCCCTCCGTAACTTTTCCATCCCCTCCGCAAGCTCGAAATACACGCTAAAAGCCATTTCCGATGCACACCCTAAAGTCGACAATTTCATCACTCGGATGGGCAAAGGAGATTTGAGTCTCGTGTTGGAACTGACAGTCTTACCTTAAAAATATACCTACCGACGATGTGCCGCTCTCCGCCCCTCTGCCCTGGCGACGCCACCGCCCGCCGGGTGCGCAGTATCGCCCGGGAAAGGGACCGTCACACGCGGGTCGTTGCACGCGCAGTGTCTGTGCGGCTGTGGTTCTGTTTTCACTGGCCGGTGAAATTTCACGTCCCCTCGTCTTTCCCAACACACTTCGCGGCGACCCGTGTAGCGGCCACATGACGCTCGTTATGTGCAGTTCCTGTACCCGGGCAGCAGCAAGGTGCTTCGTATGTCCCGGATGTTACTTATGGAAAATGTTTCCCCAAAACTCCCGCGCGCGGTGCTCCGGGGGTCTCGGAACCCGGTCAGCGTCTCCGGGTGCAGCGTTCCCGTACCAGTTCCTCCTGGTTTAGTAGGAAACCGTCTTACTCTCTGCCCTCCCGGCGTGTCCGTCCCCTCCGCCGGCACACCAGACGCCAGAGGAGTCGCTCCGTCACCGGCCCCTGCCATTTCTTACTTTCAACTCAAGGCGTTTGTCACTGGCAGAGCAGCAGGCGCAAGCAGTGCAGACGAGCTCCGTTTGGGGGACGGTGGCCCTCGGCCTCGCAGGCCTCCCCTCGCCCCTGCTCCCTGGCCCCCAAGCTGAGAACAGTCAGCCCTGGGCCGGGAGGGCAGCCAGCACAGGCAGT